TACCAATACTAAAAAACAAAGAAGAAAGAATGGCTAAAAAATTAAGAACGAAGAAGAAAGAATGGCTAAATATATATCAATATAGGCCTAGGGAATAAAATTATTTTTAAACAGCAGTCTTTGCGAGCAAGATTTGCTATATAAACAGCAGCCATCTGTATATTAGAATGCTTTCCCCTAAATCTTTAAATAATTTTACCAAAAAAAAAAAGATGGCTGCTAAAGTAAATGAGCTTGGTTGCAACGGATGGAAACATTGTTAGTCTTTATTTATTACTGAAAAGCTTTAATACAAAATTGTTTAAAAACAGGTACATGAATGAAACTTTGAAAACAATTTTGTAACTTTTAAAACATACATCCTCTCTGAAATGTGAAATAATTACTAAAATTTAATGAGTAGGCCTAACCTTTTTTTCATATTTAATATTATTTAATCATATTAATAGACTAGTCTCGGACGATTTTATGTACTTAAAACGATAGTATTTATAGAACTATTACTAGATTTATAGATATTGGTAATCTATCGTTTTAAGTGCTAAAATCGGCTGTGGTTAGTAATGTAAAAGAAAGTTGCCTCATCATTCACGCGTTAATTAATTAGGTTAGAAGTAGCATAAATAATATAGTAATATAATAGGACCTGTTTGGTAATCTATCGTTTTGGGTACGTAAAATCGCCCGCGGCTATTAATGTACGAAAAAGTTACCTCATTGTCAAGGCTGTAATAGAAGTATATATATTGTGATATGTTTGTGTCAAATATTATAGATAAATGAATAATAAACCTAAATCGGTAAAACTCCATTTTAGCGTATTTTAATCTCCGTTGCTTGTTTACCTCCAGTTGAGCGTATTTTATTATAACAACCGAAACACACCAAAACATTAGGAAAACACGATTTATTTTTTGTATTGTATTTTTGTTTTAGCAAATGAATAAAAATGAATATTTAAAAAACACGACTTGTTTATTTGTATTGTATTTTTTTTAAAAAGGCATTTGTCTCAGGATGAAACTGATACACTGTTGACTGTTAATTATCCTGTATATTTTTGTATTTATGCAATAAATGTACAAACTCTGTGTTTTTTAATTTGACAATTTTGCCAAAACTGATAAAAATATTTTTACTATAGAGTTGTATATTATTTAAATTCATAGTAAATCTACCATCCTTCCCAATATTTTGATATATGTATCAAGTATGATTTTTTGTATGAGTAAATATCTGACTTTAAAAAAAAAATGATGTGGGGTCGTCCATAAATGACGTCACACTCGTAAGGGAGAGGGGGGGGGGGGGGGGTTTCCGCAATTTTGTGACGGTGGGTGATGAGGGGGAGGGGGTGGGGTTTCAGATAGTGTGACGTCACTTTTTTGCATTATATAAAAGCAATGTTAGAAAAACGAGTTTTAGCCGTTATTTTGCGTTTTAAAAAACGGTTTTAATAAATTGTAATAGGAATTGATCAAAATGCTCTATGTTGACAGAGTTCTGACAAGATTTTGGAAAAATTCAACAGAAATTTTGAGGGGGGGGGGGGGTGGTTGTAGGCTGAAGTGTGACGTCATTTTAGGGGGGGGGGGGTGGGTCCTGACTTTTTGTGATGACGTGTAATGGAGGGGGAGGTAAAAATCGTAAAAAAGCGTGTCGTCACAAAAAGCAAGACCCCCCCCCCCTCCCCTTACAAGTGTGACGTCATTTATGGACGACCTCTAACATTATTTTTTTAAAATGACAACGCGAGTTGTCACACATTCTCTAACACTCCAAGCCATCCCTCACCAAATTCCACCCCCCCCCCCGGCCCACTTTCGGCAGCATTATTAGGGGTCATCCATAAATGACGTCACGCTTTTTTGACGATTTTTCCTTCCCCCTCCCCTCCTTCACACGTCGTCACAAAAATAACGTCACACCTCAGCCTCTGTCAAAATAGAGTATTTTAATCAACTCCTATTACAATTTATTAAAACAGTTTTCTAAAACGCGAAATAACGTCTAGAATTTGCTTTCTACCATTGCTTTTTTACAATGCAAAAGTGTGACGTCGCACCATCTGAACCCCCCCTCCCCCTCATCACACACCGTCACAAAATTACGGATCCCCTCCCCCTCCTCCCCCCCCCCTACAGTGTGACGTAATTTATGGACGACCCCTTATGCCTTTTAATACTTTTATTCTGTTAGTTGAAATTGGAACACTTATTGTACAAAGTGTGGATCTCTATTTTTGCAACCAACAAACAAAGCATTTCATTCAGTCTCTTTGTTGTTTTTATTTATTTGTTAAAACAAAAATACAAAAAAATAAATAAGTCGTGTTTTTTTAATATTCATTTTTATTCATTTATGAAAAGCAACAATACAATACAAATATTCAATTCGTGTTTTCCTAATGTTTTGGTGTGTTTCGGTTATTATAATAAAATACGCTCAACTGGAGGTAAACAAGCAACGGAGATTAAAATACGCTAAAATGGAGTTTTACCCCTAAATCAATGGCTAAATATATCAATATAGGCCAGAAATTAACTTTAAACAGCAGTGTCTGCAAGCAAGATTTGCTATATGTATATAAACAGCAGCCATTTGTAAAATAGAGTGACTTCCGCCTGAATCTCGCTATAAGTCTATAAAAATAAAACTTTAACAAGATGGCTGCTATAGTAAATGAGCATGGTTGCATCTGTTGGAAACATCGCTGGTGTACATTTATTACTGAAAAGTTTTAATTCAATTGTTTAAAAACAGTTACATAAATGAAACAAGGAAACATTTTTGTATTTTTCAAAACATAAATCCTCCTCAAAATGTGAAATAATTATTACAATTTAAGGAGTCACCTGTTTTTCACATTACAAGTCGCGGGCGATTTTACGTACCCAAAACGATAGATTACCGACTGTTTTAGTTATCCAACTCTAGTAGTAGTAGATCTACTTCTAGATTCTAGATAGTACGGTAATCTATCGTTTTAGCGGTAATCGATTCGGCCGTCACTAGTATTACTAGATCTAGTAGTAAATAAGTAATAGTAGTAATGTGTAGGGAGGTAACTAATAATTATAAATATGGCTTAAATATTAAATATGCATATATTTTTGCATATTTTACTAAAATACTAAAGATAATTGAATATTAAACCACATTTAAGGTTTAAATCAATAAAAATGTCATGAAATTAAGATTTAACAACGATGTTCCAGATACTAAATTTGCTTTTAAAAAAAACAGCGGCCATCTTAAGAAAATATTATTTTGAGTCATTTCCCTTTAATTTCTATTTGTATGGAAATGTATTGATGTTTGCTAACTACTGCAGCCGAATTGATTACGATAAAACGATAGATTACCAAAAGTAAAATCACGAAATATGTTCACGGCTTACAAATTAATTAATTAGGCCTAATATGAATGTTTGGTAAACTTATAGGACTACTTACTTAATATTAGAATCGAGATTTAGATCTAGATCTAGATCTAGATTTCTAATTCTAGATTTAGAATTTTAGATGTAGATTCTAGATATAGATCTAATTATTTATAAAAGTAAAAACTTTTACTAATAAGTTATAACGAATATGCTGCAGGCCTACAACTACAGTAGATCTAGATACATTATAATAAATGCTTCATTTTATATAATTTTATGCATAAACTTAATTGTGCTTGTAACTCAAAGCAAAAACATGCTCACTCAATTTCAAATGCCATTCTAAAGAAATCTGCATGTTGGGGCACTCATAGATCTAGAATCTAGATCTAGATCTAGATCAATATATTTATAGAGGGGCCTATCAAGGTAACACACTGCGTAAATTATGTTTATATTTAAAATCATTTGGTTTAAAAAGTTAGTGCAACTTTTATTATAAAATATTAAATAGTCCCTAAATGGCCTAAAGTATAGGCCTAAATATAATATATAATAAATATTGATTTTGTATATGCCTAGACCAGGGGTTCCCAACCTTTTTTTACTCTAGAGCACATTCTAAAATATCGGTAGGGTGGCGGGCACCACCTATTTTAAATCGACAAACTCCTTCCAGAGGCGTAGCGACCCTTCCCGTCACCCGGGGACAAAACTTTCGATTTGCACCCCCCCCCCCCTAAAGTTTCGATTTCCATCCCCTTCAACCTTTCAATAATGTTTATGAAAAAAAAAATTCTGTCTCTGTCGAATAGTGAGAGGCGGGCACATACGAATCGTTCGGCGGGCGCCATGGCGCCCGCGGGCACGGGGTTGGTAACCCCTGGTCTAGACTCTATTCATAACCTATTACTTATATATTATATAGATCTAATAGTCATATTCAATTAAAACTAATTATATAACCTTTTCTAGATTAGGATAGAATTAGGCTATTAAGCTTTCTAAAATAAGTTAGATCTAGACACTAGTGCAATATTGTTAGCAGTTGGCATTTTTAACACCCAATCACATCACAAAATGCCAGGTCATCTTCCTCCTGTGAATAAGATCTAGATCTAGATTTCTAGAATTACATCACTCACTCTCCATCAAACCACACTCTCCACAACATGTTTCCTATTTTATTTTTATATTTTAGAAACATCAGTAAGCATTCTTATCACCTTAGTAAACTAATAATAATAATACTCATGCTACACTGTAATTTACAACCTCACCACACATAGTTTATTTCAATAGTATTTTACTATTTTATATAGTTGGCACCCTCCCCACTTGTCATTTTTGTGTGACCTATAAGAGCAGGCCTACATTTAATGTAATCAATATTTCTACACTTAAATAATAATTTAACCCATGAGCTATGAGGTTTATACTTTATTTTATTTATGAATTCATACCCTCCCCCCCCCCCCCCCCTCACTCTTCAACCCTAGTTTAAAGTTCAAGAAATAATTGTAAAAAGGCTTACCTTAATTGTTTTAAGGTTCAATGATTTTTGTATATCAATTACACTTAAATAACTTAAATGCATTTTCATGCTATTTTTTTTTACTGTTTTAGGCATGTCTTCTACTGTCCTGATAAATCCAGGTAGGCTAAATGTTAATTTCTTTATATAAAAGTGAATAATTAGATAGACCTATTTTTTAACGTGTTGCATTACATTATGTTTGTTATCACACCATAAGTAGTTTCCACAGCCAAAACTTATTTTTTTTTAAGATGTTTCTTATGACTTTTATCCATCCCCTTCCCATCACCTACAAATTCAAATTGGCGAAATACCCCAACCCCTCCCCCCCCCCCCCCCACATACTATATTATATCCATCATGCAAAACAAATTTCAATTAGTGTTATCTACAATAGTTATTTATTTCTAAAATTATACTAAACTCAACTGGATCATTATTTGGTATGTTTATTGTAATATATTGAGAATTGTGAAGTCAAGGGAACTCACTCTTCTTGTATTAGTCTTATATTTATAATGTTATTTTGAGTGATGTCCCTTGTTAATATATATGTTATTGTCTCGTCACTTCCTGTTCCTGTTTCCATCATGTAGCTGAGGCGGAATAAAGTTCTATATACAAACAGCTTGGTTTCTGTCGTCAGTATTCCAATCTATTACAACTGGCGACGAGGATAAATCATCCGCAGAAAAAGAGCACCTGCTTACTTAAAAAGAAGCTTGCTAGAGCATATTGGCTAAGTATTTCTAGGATAATGGCGCTATATGGCCAAATAAAAGAATTTGATTCAAATGATGAAACCATTCATGATTATCTAGATAGGTTAAGCTTTTACCTTGAAGCTAACGACGTGACGATAGAAGCCAAAAAGAGAGCTGTTTTGTTAACAGTCATAGGGCCTCAACAATTTAGGCTACTAAAGGACTTATGCGCACCAGCTAGTCTAACTACCAAGAGCTTTAACGAGCTGAGCAAACTGCTAACAGACCACCATGCGCCTGTACCATCAAAGTTCCTGTGTAGAGCCAGATTTGACGGTAGGACTCGTCAACCAAACGAATCAATATCAGAATATTTTGCTGCGTTACATCATCTAAGTGAATTTTGTGAATTCGGGGACACGCTGTCTGACAGACTATGTGAAAAGTTTGTGACAGGTGTAAACAGCCCTGATGTTCAAAGGAAGTTGATTCTCGAGTCAGATCTCACATTGGAAAAAGCAATACAATTTGCAACTTCATACCAGCAGTCATCCGATGCGGCGAGATCTCTAGCGCCCTCAGGGATCCATGCAGTAGACAGCAGGTTAGTCAACAAACACCAACCCCATCAGAGCATTTCAACTTATGCTAAACAACCTGCACGTTCAAATCCTAGATCTAAATCTAGTAATAATTATCAAAAATGTCATTGATGCAACGGTCCCCATGCATCTCATCGATGCAAGTTCAAGTCAGCAACTTGTTATAAGTGCAGTAAGCAAGGTCACATTGCCAAGGCCTGCTTTGCAAAGTTTTCGTCTGTTGCTAAATCTAGCCAGTCAAGACAGTACCGCAACCAAAGGCAGCACTATGTTAACTCTCACCAAGACAACCTAACCCAACCAATGAACCACTCTACCAGTGAAAATGCTCAAACTGATCCGCAGCCGGAGTTCAACCTGTTCTCTGTGAAATCAACAAGTCATGCTCCCATCAACGTACCAGTTTATATCAACGGTAAGAGCATCTTCTTCCAACTTGACACTGGAGCATCTCTAACCGTCATCACAAAGAAGGACTTTGACGCTGTCACAGGAGGATCAGTGCCTCTACAACCATGTCACAAGTGCCTAACAACATACACAGGTGACAATGTTCCGGTAATAGGAGAGTGTATGGTTCATGTAAGCTATAATGGTCAAAGTGTTAAACTTCCTCTTCTTGTGGTTGAAGGAAAAGGACCACCATTACTAGGTAGGAACTGGTTAGTTGATCTTAAGTTAGACTGGGAGAGTATATTTTCAGTGAACAAAGCAAGAGAATCTAGTTTTACTTCAATAGATAAAGTGATATCTGAAAATGAAGGTGTCTTTGGTAGTTCAGGATTACTAAATGATAGGACAGTGAAGATAAGCATTAAAGACACAAATCCAAGATACTGCAAAGCTAGAGTTCCACCTTATGCAATGAGGGATAAAATTGAAAATGAGCTAAGTAGATTGGAATCCAATGGCATCATAAAGAAGGTAGACTATTCCGATTGGGCAACGCCCATTGTGCCAGTGTTAAAGAAGGATAGTTCTGTAAGAATTTGTGGAGACTATAAAGCTACACTGAATAAGCAAATAGAGCTAAATAGGTACCCTATTCCTAACATTGAAGAAATTTCTTTGAATTTAGCAGGAGGAGACAAATTCTCTGAATTGGACTTTAGTCATGCTTACACTCAACTAGAACTGCATCCAGATTCAAAAGTCTATACGACAATAAACACACATAAAGGACTCTACCAATATGAAAGACTATGTTTTGGTATATCATCTAGCCCTGGAATTTTCCAGGCTGTCATGGACAGTATTTTTCAGGACATTCCAAATATTTGTGTTTACTTTGACAATGTGTACATAACTGGTAAGAATGACATTGAACATCTTAAAACACTTGATAAAGTCTTGAAAATAGTTGGTGAAAAAGGTTTAAAGATAAACAAAGATAAATGTCAATTCATGCTGACAGATATTAGTTTTCTTGGTTATATTTTAAGCAAGCAAGGCATCAGACCTCAACCTGAGAAAACAAAAGCCATTAAAGAAGCACCCAAACCTGAAAATACCCAACAACTAAGAGCTTTTTTGGGCTTGATAAATTACTATGCGAAGTTCATAGGGAATCTGTCTGGTAAACTATCACCACTGTACAAGCTGCTGCAGAAAAAATGCAACTTGGCACTGGGGTAAACAACAAGATGCTGCTTTTAATGCAGCAAAAGAAGCTTTGTCTTCTGACACCTTACTAACTCACTATGACCCAGGGAAAAGACTTATCTTAACATGTGATGCTTCACCAGATGGTGTAGGAGGAGTGTTATCCCACATAGATGAAAATGGTGACAGACCCATTGCTTTTGCCAGTAGATCTTTGAACCAGACTGAGAAAAATTATTATCAGTTAGATAAGGAAGGCTTAGGCATCATTTTTGGTGTTAAGAAATTTCACAAGTTTCTGTTTGGTAGGGAGTTCACCATCTTTACAGATCATAAGCCATTGCTAGGTTTGTTTGGGGAAAACAAACCCCTGCCAGAGCATGCCTCACCAAGAATTCAAAGATGGGCTATCACACTAACTGCATACAATTATGAATTGCAATACAAACCTGGATCTGAGAATAGTGCAGATAGTCTTAGTCGATTACCTTTAAAAAACCAAAGCCTTAGTTATGTACCAGAAGATGTATTTGTTCTTTTCACTATCATGGATAACTCCAATATAAATGTGAATGATGTTAAAAGAGAAACACAAAAAGATGAGTGCTTGATAAAAGTATATGAGTACTGTAAGAATGAAAGAGTAAACAGGTTCTTAGCCAAATACCGCACAACTCCTCATATTACAACAGGTGTTGCACCATGCGAATTGTTATGTGGTAGGAAAATTAAAACTCACCTTGACCTACTACATCCAACTGTTCAAAGGTCTGTTTCCCAACATCAACATACACAAAAAGTAAATCATGACAAAACATCCATTGAAAGAGGGTTTGCAGTTAATGATAATGTGTATCTGAGAAATTATGGAAGAGGGGAAAAATGGATGCCAGGTCAAATTGTTCAAGGTACAGGACCTGTGTATTATAAAGTAAAAACAAATGATGGACTTATTGTCCGTAGACATGCAGACCAGTTAAAAATAACTTGTGCAGATAATAAGTGTGAATCTGTCAATCCCACCAAATCTGAACAGTTCACACCAACTCAGTTTGTTCCACAACCAAGTTCTGTTGATATGAGTGAACCAAGTAGTCTAGAGTCAGAAAATGTAAATTCTGGAATTAATGATTTAGATCCTAGATTTCCTGAGATAGAGAATCCAGATGGTCAGAATCTTGAGTCACCAAATCAAAAGCCACTGAGAAGGTCAAACAGGACAATCAAAGTCCCAAATAAGTTAGACCTATGATTTTAAAGGTCAAAAGGACTTTGACATCATTGTTTTGTATTTTAATTATGTTGTAACATATTTGCATTTGTTTGTAAGGATGTAATCTACCAAATGATTCAAATCATGTAATGTTCATGTTACAATATATTTGGTGATTTTAGGATACTCTCATTTGTTCTATTGAGAGATGTGTTGTTGTTTACTAAGGGTAAAGGGATGTAATATATTGAGAATTGTGAAGTCAAGGGAACTCACCCTTCTTGTATTAGTCTTATATTTATAATGTTATTTTGAGTGATGTCCCATGTTAATATATATGTTATTGTCTCGTCACTTCCTGTTCCTGTTTCCATCATGTAGCTGAGGCGGAATAAAGTTCTATATACAAACAGCTTGGTTTCTGTCGTCAGTATTCCAATCTATTACATTTATCAATATTTATTACAATTTACTAAAAGGTCTTTCAGAATATAAAATAAATGCTAAAATTCAATGTTAACCTTTTAAATGCACTGTCTGACACCCCCCCCCCCCCTCCTCGAAGCATATTACCAACATCATCACAAAAGTTCATATTTATATGGCTCCCTTATTTTAAAACATCAGGACACTATATATTTTTTTTTATTACAATTTTAATCTGTCAAAAATAATAAAGAAACGCTATTTTTAGAGCTGTTCTTTGAAATATGCAGGCAAATTTGTTTTTATTTACTCTCATACACTGAAACTAACTAAATGTATCATGCATTTTGTAAACCAAAATTTTACAAGTTTTAAGAAAAATTAGAAACCTCTACCTTTAAACCAATATTGTTTTCTCCAGAAGCACAAAGTGTTGGGATTCGCTGCCGTGTGCATTTCCCTGATGGTAAAGTAGATGACAGAGATATATTTGAACACTGGATGGCTTGTGAGGTTTGTGTTATAGTGAGAAATGCTCATGACCTTTTGTTGATGTAAAGGGTAATATTTCACTCTGTAATTTAATCGTATCAACTTATACATTTTATTAAGTTTAATACTTATTAAAAATAATGCAGTTTATGTTAAAAATAAATAAATAGGTGTTTTAATTTTTTAATAGGCTGAGTTATCATTTATTAATCCTGTTATATATTTTCTATAGCTTAAAGAACGGTTGTTATTTTCCTATCCAAATCTTGATTCTTACAACTATGATGTGATCATCCGTTTCAATGACGACTCACAGAATGTCATTCCAGATGAAACAGAGTTAAATGCAGAAGACCTAAAGAGATGTAAAGGAATTTATATTGCCATTAAAGGGTAATCTAGAAATATATTTTTTTTCAGACCTAATAAAAAGTGTTTGAGCTTTTAGATGCATTTTTACATTCTGTTAACTATTAAATGTATGAAGGATATAATGAATACAAACAAATCATTATATTAGCAGTACATTAGAATACATTTTTGCCGTCCATAAATTTGAAGATGATTATTAGGTTTAAATTTTTACCATACTACATAAAAACTATATATTATATTAAAACAGAGAAGGAAATGTTTTTAGACTAGCAGGTTTATAGCAGTAAATTATAACACAGCACATTTTTTTTTAGAAAATAAAACCTAAAAAGATGTAGTTCCTATTCCTGTTTACTTTCTATTTTATTAAAAAGCATTAAAATAATTACTATGACTGTTTTTATATACATGTGTCTATTAGTTTTTAATTGATTCATAATTAATCATAATTGTTTCAAATTTCTAGACAAGAAGGAAACAAAAAGCTAACACCTATTGGAAACATAAATCTCAAATGAATTCCAAGATTCTTAAAATATCAAAAACTAGTTGGACGGTTTGCATGTGACTTACTGGGAATAGACCTATCTAAAAAAATACTTGTTTATATATTTATGTTTTTTATGCACTTAAAACATACATACATATTGGGGTCATATTTTAGAATTGATTTGACTGATTACAGTAGCTGTTTTCTAAATGTTCTCTGAAATAATGAGTGGAGTATAAAATTTTAAGAAGTTAAATAAAAAAACTGAGATAAATACAAATGTGCAAATGAAAAGTTATAATGATATACTTAACTTACTTAACTTAATCCTCATCACTCCCTGTGGAGTATAGGGCAGCAACAAATCTCCGCCATTCCACCCTGTCCTGGGCGAGCCACTTTAGTTCATGCCAGGTTTTGCCAGCAGCCTGTACTTCTTCTTCCATCTCCCTCCTCCATGTTCCCAGTGGTCTTCCTCTATTTCTCTTTCCGGGTGGGTTCCACTTCAGCGCCATGTTGGGGAGTCTTTTTTTCCTCATGCGTAGGACATGGCCCAGCCATCTCCATCTTCTCGTTCGAACCTCTGAGACAATGTCGTTTAATCCTGTCCTTTGCCATATTTCCTTGTTCGGGACTTTGTCGTCCCACTTTATCCTGAGGATGCGTTGGAGGGATCTTCTTTCAAAGCCTCTGAGTCGGCTCTCTCCTTTCTTGTTTAGTTTCCATGACTCTGCAGCATAGAGGAGCACAGAACGTACATTTGACTTATAGATCCTTATTTTAGTTCTCTGCTGCAGTGAGGATGATTTCCATATCTTAGCGAGTCTGTTGAAAGCTTGTGCTGCCATTGCTATTCTGGTGGCAATTTCTTTCTCCATGCTGCCATTTGCTGATATATAGCTGCCGAGGTACTTAAAGTCTTCGACCTCTTCTAGCTCTGCTCCATTCGCAAAGGTCTTGAGAGCACTTTTGGTTTTTATTTTCATTAGCTTGGTTTTTCCGGAGTTTATCTTTAGCCCAACGCTTTTGGCAGTTTGCTCTATTCTTGTGGTTTTTGCTTGGATGTCTTTTTGGGCATGTGAAAGTAAAGCCAAGTCATCAGCAAAGTCACAGTCCTCTAGGTGGTTGGTAAGTTCCCAAACAATTCCTCTTGGCTTATCCTCAGTGGCTCTTCTCATAATCCAGTCTATTACCACCAGAAAGATGACAGGTGAGATGACACAGCCCTGTCTGACTCCTGTTTTTACCTTGAACCATTCACTTTGCTGATTTTCGTGTCGCACACAGCATTGGTTATCATAGTACATGTCCTTGAGTATGTTTATGACTTTTCCTGGAAAGCCATATAGCTCTAGTATCTTCCATAATGATGGATGGTGGATGCTATCAAATGCTTTCTCGAAATCTATGTAGTTGATGTAGAGAGACGAATTCCACTCCAGGGACTGTTCCACTATAGTGCGCAAGACAAATATTTGGTCATTACATGACCTGTTGGCCCTGAAGCCAGCTTGTTCTTCACGAAGGATCCCATCAATTCCTTTCCTCATTCTTTGTAATAAAACTCTGCAGAAGATTTTTCCTGGCACTGACAGAAGGTTAATGCCTCTCCAGTTCTCACAAACATTAAGGTCACCCTTTTTGGGTAATTTGATAATGATTCCCCGTTTCCAAGAATCTGGGACTTTTTCATCATTCCATACTTTATTGAAGATCCCTGATAGAGTTTCTGCACCTATTTTTGGGTCCGCCTTTAGCATCTCCGCAGTGATTCTGTCCTCTCCTGGAGCCTTGTTGCTTTTTGTTTTTTGGATAGCTTCTATTATTTCTTGTTCTAGGATGGGTCCTCTATACATTTCAAAATGTATGTTCATGTCAGTGAAGTCAGCAGTTTCTTCTGGATCTGGTCTGTTTAGGGTCTCTTCAAAGTATTCAGCCCATCTTTTCAATTGATGTTTCTCCGTTGTAAGAACTTTCCCATTTTTGTCCTTGATAGTAGATGATCTATTTGCTATTCCTCCTGTTAGAGTCCTTATAATCTTGTAGACTGTTCTGCTATCTCCCTTATCAGCTGCAGCCTGTGCTTCTGAGGCCATTGTGTCTACATAGTTCCTTTTATCCTTCCTAGCATTCCTCTTTACCTCTTTTTGCAGTCTTCTATATTCTACATCGTTCCGTACCCTGCTTTCCATGGTTCCAGATAGTGTTTTAAGTTTGGCTTCTCTTCTCTTTTCAATGAGATTCCAAGTATCGTTTGAGATCCATTCCTTCCTTTGTTTGTTCCTGTGTCCTAGTATGCATTGGCTTGTTTTTGTGTATACATCCAGGATCTTCTCGCATTGTATATTGGTGTCCTCTTCTGGTAGGTTCTCGAGTAGACTAAATCTATTTTTTAGTTCAATTGCGTAGTTTGCCTTAATGGTGGGATCTTTTAGTTTAGCTGAGTCAAATAGCCTCTGGTTTACTTTCCTGTCGACTCTCCTAAGCTTGAGTTGTAGCTTGCACAAAACTAGATTATGGTCGCTACCTACGTCGGCTCCTCTTATTGCCTTTAAATCCCTCATGGATCTTCTCCACTTTTTATTTATAGCGATGTGATCGATTTGATTGCTGGTTCGCTTATCTGGGGATATCCATGTGGATTTGTGCATTTCTTTGTGCTGAAATAAGCTGCCACCTATAACCAGACCATTTTCTAGGCAAATCTCTCTAAATCTTTGGCCGTTGTTGTTTGCCTCCCCCAGCCCCTCCTTACCCATGCAGAGCTCGTATCCCTGGTTACTGGACCCTACCTTTGCATTCATGTCTCCCATGACCACCAGAATGTCATGTTGTGGAGTCCTGTCGATTTGATCTTGTAGAGTGTGGTAGAACATGTCTTTGTCTTCATCCTTTGCTTGTTCTGTCGGGGCGTAGCACTGTATTACGGTAATCTTTACATGTCTTGAGTAGAATCTGGCCCTAAGAATGCGAGAATTGATTGGTTCCCACCCTATTAGACTTTTTCTTGATATTTTATCCATGATAATACCAACTCCTTCCTGGTGTTGGCTGTCAGATCTCCCAGAATAGATTATAGTTTCTCCTGATCCGAGTGTAATCAGGCCTGAGCCTGTCCATCTCATTTCGCTGATACCCAGGATGTTGATCCTGTATCTTGACATTTCCTTGACCACTTGAGCTGTTTTGCTAGTTTCGTACATGGTACGCACATTCCAAGCTCATATTCGTGTAATAATTTTGGGGGTTACTAAGGACTGTGTCGGAGTAGAGACTTCCTTGCGGCTTTCATCTAGACTCGTCATATCAGGCAAAGCTGCCTCAATCCTCGGTTGCTCTCCCATGATGGTTTGATTTAGATCTGTTGCCGTTTCTGTAGCGTTTTTGTTTTTACATGGTGGGTTGCTAGCCCAAACCCAAAACCCTCCTCCTTTCCCATTCTGGACTTGGGACCAGACAATGGCGGAGTTATAGAGCTTGCTTTATTACTGGTATATAATTTACCAAATATAATATGATATAAGACACTGATTCGCATTCTTCAATTGGTAATTTTTTTTTTTTAAAACACATATAATTAGTGTTCATATTTTTTAACCCTTCAAGATGATTTTATTCCTGTGTTCATATTAAAATATATTTAGTTAGTGTGCTTTAATCTTTGCACTTAAAAGTTACAGCTGGTGATAATGTAAATGCAATAATTGTTTTAGCGAAATGGCCACAGCATCCATCCCTCTGGCTCTATGGGCTAAATTTACCTCTAGGCTAGAATTAAGCACACACTATATATATAAAACTATAAATTTAAAACTATATATATATATATATATATATATATATATATATATATATATATATATATATATATATATATATATATATATAAGTAAAGTACTCATTTAAACAAAGTGGTCCTTGGGGCAGGCGAATTAGAATTCACCTGTTTAGTAATGTCTTTCTTAGCCATATGTTATTTAAGGAGAATGGTATAAAAAGATTTTACTACCATTCAACCTTTAATAAATATATGATCCTGTGGAGTAGGTCAAAGCTAATTGCTTAAAAATTTATTTTTAACTATGCAATGTTAATGTTATTCTAATTTGTTTTATGTCATTGTTACTTTTTCTTATCTTACCATATAGGCCCTGTCTTTCTGTCTATTTAATTCACTTACCCGTTACACTTTTAATGCTACATTTCATCTCTAAACTTAAATGAGTGAACATATTTGAACCTAAATGTTACTCTATGATGTTTTGTTACTTATGCTTAATTTTTTTCACTGTTTTTCTCTTTGCTGGTCTTACTTTTTTTTTTGACATGCTTTCTTCACTTTCCCTATTGCTACAAACAGGCATTTAAAATAAACTTTTCAAAGGAGGGTTGTTTTTTTCTCTCTTTGTCACACTGTTCCAGAAATGAATTGAAATGAAGTGACATTAAAATAGCTCAGATGCGCAATAAGTTTAATCTTTTTTGGGGTGTTTCTTTTTCATAAACTGTTAAACCAGCTAATCTGGATACTCACATATAATTTTTTGCTTATATGTCAAACCAAATTTTAGTTTGCTCGACATATCAAATCTTGTATCTCTGGGCACTTGTACGCCAAGGTACCACTGTAGCCTATATGTTCATATTAAGCAACATAAATAACACAGGGTTATTTAAACGTATTATTGTAAGACACATATTAAACAATAGCATATATTAATTTATTTTTCGATTGTTATACAATTGTAAAAGATAAAGAATATTTTATTTAATTAACACAAAACCCATATAAAATAAACTGGGAGTGATCTCACCTAAATTTTCTCGAATATTCTTATATAACATGATGGGGGATGGCAAGTCGGGATATAGACAATATTTTAATCCATTTTTAATTACTTAAACTTTTAAAAATAGAGTACAATATCGTAGAAAAAAGAATTGCACACCAAGTGAATGTCAAACAATATGTGTTTATTAGTGCGGAGTATTATTAGTACTTTATAAATTCACATGCGTGAATTACTACTTCAGGTCAATGGAAATAACTCAAAATTTGACAGAAGGCAGAAAATTAGATCATTTACTATTACGTGAAATTTCATTAATCTTTCTGAAACAACAGTATAGGCTTTTGAAAAATTGAAAGTAGATTAAGTTCAGGTTACCAGAAATGCTGAAACGTTGGTACGGAACTACAAATTGGATAAAATACTAGCTGTAATGGTACTCAAGTTATCATGTTCACAGACACAAACACACACACAGAGACATACGGACGAGAGTGCAAAATTATGTTTTTCCGACTCAGGTGGGTGTAAAACGTCAAGATTTGCAAAAATCTTGATTTTTTTCCCATGATTACAATACTTTCTCCATACTTCATACATACAAGAAAGTAAAAACAAGTTTATAAAACTCATATTATCAAACTTTAAATATCTGAGAAATTTTAATTATAAATTGTATATAAATTAATCAGAATTATAGACATAAGTAAAATAGTATAAACAAATTTTCTCAGCAATGTCGATCAACGTTTATTCAGCCTGATTACAAATATGTGCTTTTATTTATGGTACTAAAATCAACTTAATGGTATACAAATTTACATAATTGTATAAAAATAAATTACTGACTTGGGATTGACACCTAATGATGTTGTGATGGGGGGGGGGGGGGGGGAAATTATCTTTGGGGGAGTTAAGAAAAGAAAGATGAAAATGGTATTAACTTTATTTAAATGAATGTCATTTCTAGATTTGAAATTTAGTGACATTGTATGTGGGGTTGGTCTATTAATTTTGTTTTAAAAATGCATATATAATTATAAGACAACATATGCAGATGAACCTCTTTGAATTTATAAAAAGTTGTAATTATACATTTTTTATTTCAAGTTTTGCTGACTACAACCTGCACTATAGGAATCATAAATCATAGTTTTAAAATTTAAAAAAGTCATATAATTTATTTCTCCCCATGGAAAAAATGAAAAGGACATTTATTTGAATGCATCAGATTGATTGTTTTAATAACAAATGTACTGGGTGCTCCTTTTTCACTCAATCAACCAATAGTTAAATAATGTCTCTTTGTTTTAGCAATATCAAGTTTTATTAAAATAAAGGTAGGACCTATAATTTTATGTAGATGGCTTTTACTTTAAAATAAACAACATATTTCTTGGTTGTAAATTATATTTCTCAATTATTGTAATTGGATAGTAATAGTCTAATTCTTAAGTGCAAGTGTTTTTGTTGAAGAGGTTATTAAATTTATGTTTGAACAGTTTACAGAGTTTCTTAATTTGCTTACTCAGTAGAGATGCATTAAATGTCAAATACACTTTACCTTTACCTAGTTAAAGAGTGAACTAAATTTTATACTGGTAAAAGTATAAATTTTCCTGAAACACTTATCGGAATCCCATAGCACAAACGCAAATGAAATCCAGTAAACTTTTAGTACAAGAAACCAGTTCAAAGTAGTTAGTTCAAGTTAAGAAAGAATATTTAAATGACAATATACTTAGAAGAGCTAGTTGGAGATGTTTTACTTATAAGTATTATAGAATATAATGAAATATTTGGATGATGTCTTTCAGGTTTGTTCTGAGGACATATATGGACTTGATGAAGTAGAGTTTATCTATTGCTATGACAGTTTCATATGGAACGATAGTATTGTCAGTGCAATGCCCAGCCGCCTATGATTTTTTAACATGTGTCAGATACCCATCAGAGCTTGGTGAAATCATGGATGTCCTACTGATGATCAGAACTTGAGTCTTTTTCGTTTGCGGTTTTATATATAGTTCTATAAGAATAAATCTTTATAGGACCTACTAGATTAATTATCCTAAATCTTGCAATAACATTCACTTAAATATATAGAGTAAATTTAGTAGAAACCATTGAAAATAATTAGGATAAAAGTAACACTGCCACCAAAAGATGAATAGCTAAACTTCAGAAAAATAATAATTATTGTTGATTTTTTTTACAATCAGAATTATAGAATTAAAACAGGTAATGCTCTATGAAACTTGCTTTTGCAAATACTATTAAACAGGTGTTTTGAGCAATACAATAATCTAACAGATACCTTATTTAATAATATTTATATACATATAAATGTATATATAGACCTATATAATTATATATATATATATATATATATATATATATATATATATATATATATATATATATATATATATATATATCAGTGCATTGATTTCAAATAACAAAACAGAACTACATTTTTAAAATTGAAAAAAAAAATGAAGAGAATTTCATAAATGGATGTTTTTTAATTACTTAAAACAGAAGATGCATCAATACAGCATTACAAAGTATATAATTTATATTTGTTTTCATGGACAATCTTTAATTTTGAATTAAATGTTAACTTCAGCTTCTTTGTGTCTAAAATTCCACATCCATGATGTTCCATTTACCTAGAAATTAAATAAATAATACTTTAAACAACTTTCAGTACTATGAAAAAATTAATCATTGATTAAAACAGACAGTCAAATATAGCAGTTGAAGTTGAATTAAAATTCACCTATTTCTGTGGCATTTACATGTAACAGAGTGTACAGGTATATACCCAGCCACCTTTAATTTCCCTATCTTGAGCCAGGTACTCATGAGAGCTGGGTGGACTTAGGACATCATACTAGGACTAAAGTCAGGGATCTGAACTCTAGTCTATTGGGTTGGAAATGTGTAAGCTACTGTCTGAAAGTCCCACTATTGGGCCATATCAAGCACTGTTACATAAATTAAATCAATAATTAATAGTTACTTAATTAATACTTACAGTAAATAATCTTAGTAGCAGCATATTCTTTAAGAATTGTAACACTGAAACGGTTTCAAACTTGTACTTAAGCTGAAGAATGGCTTATTATAAAAAAATTCAGCTCACCTTTAGTTTAGCTCAAGATCAGCACCAATAGCCACAGTCAAGTGTGAGAAAATTGCTTGCCAAGTACCTAGAGAATTTGGATATTATAAATTATTAAGTTTATGCATATATTATATTAAAATAATTATTTAACTAATATTTGATATTATATATATATATATATATATATACATATATATATGTTTGTATTTTGTGTTTGTATATATATATATATATATATATATATATATATATATATATATATATATATATATATATATATATATATATATATATATATATATATATATATAGGTTTAATTATATATAGGTCTATTTATATTTATGCTTGGGGGGGGGGGGGGGGGCGGCCCTTTAAAAAAAATTTTTTTGCGGGGTGGCCCTTTTTTTTCTAGTTCCGCCACTGGCAGACAATTTTACTAATGCCCATAACTATAAGCAATGCATTTTACATTTACATTTTAAAATTGTCATATAATGAAATTATAAACTTTTAAATTGGTCTTTTTTATACTATTAAAATGCTACTATTAGCATTTAAACCTAGATTTGTTATTCAATTTTCAATTTTAAGGCACAATTATTTAGCAGTGTTTTTATATTACCTACAGTAACCTTCTTACCTGATTTCTTTATATTTATAATTAGCATTTAATCATTTGATATTTCCATATTAAATAGGCACATATATCAGAATAAAACCATAACGTTTCTAATGTTACTTGCTGGTATTAATAGAACCTTTTTATAGCAATTACACTCATTAAGAAACAATTGAAAGCATTTTTAAATTTTCTTTTTTTTATTCTTTTTTTTTGTTGCTGCAATAGTGTAGATCTAGATAAATTATAGAAGTTTGCATTATATATTTTCGTACCCTAAGATACAAAGTTCATTTATTGCACAATATCTCAAATCAATATCCTTCATTGCTATTATATTAAATGTCATCCATTTGTTTTTCTAACATGTGTATAATTTTAAAAACATATTTATGAATTAAAAATGGTGTATAAAAACAAGAAAAGGAATAATATAAAGAAATAAAAAGGAAATAAAAAGTGTATTCTTGGGTAATCTACCTTCTTTCACTGTTAATATTAAACCCTTCATGTGAATTTAATTCATTTGGTCTCAGAATGGTACACTTTATGCCTAAACTTAATCGAAATAACTAAACTTTACTTTTTGTCACTGCTGTTCTCTGTACTCGTCTTAGCCTTTTTCATAATGCTGTCCTCACTTTCACCTGCAGTCCATTTTAGTGTGTGTGTGTGTATATATATATATATATTGTATATATATATATATATATATATATATATATATATATATATATATGTATATATATATATATATATATTTATGTATATATATATATATATGTATATATATATATATATATATATATATATATGTATATATATATATATATATGTATATATATATATATATATATATATATATATATATATATGTATATATATATATATATATATATATATATATTCACATTTTCTTCAAATAATCCTGAAGCTAGGGAGATAACCAGATCAAATACCTACAAACTTGAACTTGAATAAGTTTTGTAAGCCGTTAAGGCTGTAGTTTGACATCTAGTTTGTTAGGTTAGTTAGGTTTGCCTGTCATCCCTACTGTGACATAGGCCGCTGACAAGAGCTTTCCAGGCATCTCTGTCCTGGGCTAGTCTCTCCAACTGTCCCCAGGTGTTCCAATCCAATACATATTGGCTTTCACCACCCAGTATTATAGGTTCTCCATTGGGAGATCCATTCTTCCCCTGGTCCAAGCTTTTTTCTTTGTCTGCGTTTCTGTAGTGAGCTGTTTTTTTACGATATAAGGTTGCTGACTTTATGCTCAACCCCCAACCTCGAGGACCAGGGTGCTAACTTTTGTCTGACCCCTACCCGCGCAGACCTTCCCAGCTTGGTTGAACCTGCCAGTGTTTAACACTCCTGCTGGTATGGCTCTGGGGGTATCTAGTTTGTAAACTTAATTAAAAATATTCTATTTTGTTTATTAAGATTGGTTGACAACAAGCATTGATGTCCAAGTTTTAAGCTTCCTACATTAAAAGACCAAAGAACTTTTGGAGTTAAAAAGCGAAAACACTAATTATGCATTGAATTAGTTTTTGTGTCATTCAAACAAATATACAACTTCACTATGATATGAATGCTAAAGATGTAGTTGTCTGGCCTGCAAAGACTGCTGTTTGATTTACAAAATTCAATGATTCATTTGTCATCATGATGACCATCTCCAGTTTACTGTTTTACCTAAATAAACATATTTAATTAAGCTTTGATGACTATGTATAAAAACAATGCTTGGCCCTGCCAACATTAGTAGTAATAATCAATGGTTCTCATCATAATGAAACACCCTGCAGCCAGTGTTTCTTCCAGACATTTTTCTTTAGGGTTGGGGGGGGGGGGGACAACATTTTCTTTGGGGGGGGGGGCACTGGTAAAAGTATGTTTTCTATATAAATTTCATGTTTTTTTGGGTGGTGGGGGAGGGTGGTAGACTTCAAAGATGCCTGGAAGAAACTCTGCATCCCACCTACTTCTACTTCATATGATGGAATCAGAAAAAAATCCACTCTTCTCACTTCTCAAAATGATGTTAGACATTTAATGATAATACTGCCTTAGTTTGGATGATCAAGTTATTAATAGCACATTGAATGTTTAAAGGTTTGGATACTTTATAAAATAATGCCAGCCTTAAGTAGAAAGCTTACCAAAGCAAAGTTTACTTGGACTAAGTCTTTAAATTTGTGATTTGTATACAAGACTTATTGATTTTGTAAGCTGTGACTGAACAATTTTCTGTAGATCTAAAGACTTGTCACCTGATCACTATGTTCAGATGAAAAGGAATGTAGGTTCTATTTCAAAAGATTTTCAAATGGTTTGTTTCAAAAACAGATACTGTCAATAGAATTGTTGTAACTGAAATAGCAATATAAACATAAAGTGATATTTGGTGCCGTGTGGAATGGTAGGTTCGGATCCCATTGGGTTCCGCCTGTTCTGTCTCTACTTGGACTATATTCTGTACCTTTGTCTACCCTTGGCGTTGAAATATCACTTTGTGTTTATATTGCCCCAACATGGTGCGATTTGTCTTTATATATAATGGCTAAAAATTAAAAGTTGGATGTGGTTTGACACCGTTCATCCGAGAGCCATGAAACTTTGGGGATCAAATGAGAATAGGCCTACTCCCGACAAGATTTTTGCGGAAACAATTTTAAATTTCTTACTGGCAACTCCCGAGATGTGGCGATTTTTCGTCAATACATGGTTTAGCACTCAGAGTTCCAGATCGGCTATGTTAACACTTGGTATTTGTAATCGGGCGTCCTGCAAAGCGGGTAGGGGTACTATATTCAGCGGTAAAACCGCAGCAGACGCAGCAGCAGTGATTGGGTGTCCTGAAGCGCCCTGAGCTCTCTTGTTAGCACTTTGGCGCTTAAGTTCGTGTTTAAAAAAAAGTATATACTACAGACTCGCTGGGCAACAATAACCGTTGACTATATCGTATCAGGCGCCCCGCGTGTTGTCTTTGGATCCCCGGGTTTCTCCGTAAGCGCTATACCGCATACGTTCGTTTAAAAGAGTGCGATAGAATATGGATACAATGTGGCATTAAAGTCGTTCACTAAAAAGGTACGGTGTGATTAGACACCCTGGGCTATCCCGTGAGCACTATGGTGCCTACGTTAATTTTTAAGAGCACACTATAATATTGACACGGTGGCACGCGAAATTCACTCCTTTTGACTTGAATGTGTTGACAAACGCCGTAAAATTCTTCGACCACTTCTGACTTGGTTGTAACAATTTTGTAGATTACTGGAAGACCACCTCTTACACCAAAGTAACATTCCGTTTTTGTTGAGACAACTTGTAATGACGCCCGCTTCTAACACCAAATGTAACAATATATTTTTTTTTGTTACAACTAGTTGTTATTGTGAGCTCTTTCTTCAAAGACAGACGATAAACTGCTGGTTCATTTCACAACTTTATTTAGAGTAGTTATATCCACAATGAATACAGTTCATTTCACAACTTTATTTACAGTAGTTATATCCACAATGAATACAGTTCATTTCACAACTTTATTTAGAGTAGTTATATCCACAATGAATACAGTTCATTTCACAACTTTATTTAGAGTAGTTATATCCACAATGAATACAGTTCATTTCACAACTTTATTTAGAGTAGTTATATCCACAATGAATACAGTTCATTTCACAACTTTATTTAGAGTAGTTATATCCACAATGAATATAGTTCATTTTACAACTTTATTTAGAGTAGTTATATCCACAATGAATACAGTTCATTTTACAACTTTATTTAGAGTAGTTATATCCACAATGAATACAGTTCATTTCACAACTTTATTTAGAGTATTTATATCCACAATGAATACTGTTCATTTCACAACTTTATTTAGAGTAGTTATATCCACAATGAATATAGTTCATTTTACAACTTTATTTAGAGTAGTTATATCCACAATGAATACAGTTCATTTTACAACTTTATTTCGAGTAGTTATATCCACAATGAATACAGTTCATTTTACAACTTTATTTAGAGTAGTTATATCCACAATGAATACAGTTCATTTCACAACTTTATTTAGAGTAGTTATATCCACAATTCATACAGTTCATTTTACAACTTTATTTCGAGTAGTTATATCCACAATGAATATAGTTCATTTTACAACTTTATTTAGAGTAGTTATATCCACAATGAATACAGTTCATTTTACAACTTTATTTCGAGTAGTTATATCCACAATGAATACAGTTCATTTTACAACTTTATTTCGAGTAGTTATATCCACAATGAATACAGTTCATTTTACAACTTTATTTCGAGTAGTTAAATCCACAATTCATACAGTTCATTTTACAACTTTATTTCGAGTAGTTATATCCACAATGAATACAGTTCATTTTACAACTTTATTTCGAGTAGTTAAATCCACAATTCATACAGTTCATTCAGTAATCAAACATCCGACGTTTGATATAGCACTTTTACATGAAGTGCGTGAATACAC